TTGATTTATTTTGTTTTACGGCATATCAACCTCAATGGGTTATTTAATGCGGACAACATTTTTAGGATAGATTCGTAAGAATATAGTATGTATTCTTTGGTTTAGATTGGTTTGGTTTATTTTGTTTTATGGCATATCAACCTCAATGGGTTATTTAATGCCGACAACAAGGATAGATTTTAGAAGGATTCTTTGGTTTAGATTGGTTTGGTTTTATTTTGAATAGAATCAATGGGTTATTTAATCATTTTTAGGATGATTCGTATGTTTAGTATTCTTTGGTTTGGTTTTAGTTTTTTTTTTAACGGCGTATCAACCTCAATGGGTTATTTAATGCCGACAAAATTTTTAGGATAGATTCGTATGAATAGAATATGTATTCTTTGGTTTAGATTGGTTTGGTTTATTTTGTTTTATGGCATATCAATCTCAATGGGTTATTTAATACCGACAACAAATTTTTTTGCTGGTAAAATTTTGTTTTTCCAAAAATCTGTTTCTGGTAATATATTTACTTCAAAATTGTATTGCTGATAATAATTTTTTTCAAAAAATTATTGGCGGTAATAGTTACTTGCCTATAGCTGGGACCCTAACAGATGCTACCACCCCGTGTCAGGGTGGACCTGGGTAGACCAGCAATTAAGAGGTGGTTCCACGCTCCTCAAAACCTCCTGATCAGAGGCTTTGCTGCTGGACGTAGTTTAACGTCTTACCCAGGACGCGGATGTAGTTTAACGTCTTACCCAGGATGCAGCAGGATTTGGGAGAGATATGATTTTATACATAATATAATTTAGAAAAAAACTTTTTTTACTGTCAATTGGAAGAAGACTGAATGCATGGTTGTCAGCAAAAGGAACAGCCCAGCATGAAAATTACAAATTGGAGATAGCAAAATCAATCAATTTTAAAATAGCTCGGATGTATTTTAACAGAGGACGGAAAATGAAACATCGAAATTTGAAGATCTGTTGGGATAGCAAAGATGCATTCCAAAAACTAAGCAAATTATTACAAAACAAGAAAACTTCTTAGAAACAAAGAAAAGAGTACCGAATTGTTATGTACTTATGTATATGTCCTTCTATATAGCAGTAAATGCTGGACCATCTCACCACGGATGAAGAAGAATACCAATAGAAATGTGGTTCTACAGAACGATGCTGAGAATAACATGGACTAAACAAGTTTAGAGTTAGCATTTATTATACTTCTACTAATCCTTAATCAGCAGGAATTGGGAGAGAAATGATTTTATACATAATATAATTTAGGAAAATCTTTTTTTACTGTCAATTGCAAGAAGACTGAATACACGGTTGTCCTGCAAATTACAGATTGGAGATAGCAAAATCAATCAAGTTTAAAATAACACGGATGTATTTTAACAGAGGACAGAAAGTGTGATATTGAAATCGGAAGGCGCATTGCGATAGCGATAGATGTCTTCCAAAAGATAAGCAAAGTATTAAGAAACAGGAAAATATCATTAAAAACAAGGAAAAGAGCACCGAAATGTTACGTAATTCAGTTCTCTTTAAATACCATGTCCTGGAGAGATATGACATTTAAAAATACTTATGTAATATCAGTCCGCCTGACATGGCAGTAAATACTGGACAATCTACTTAAAGATGAAAAAGACTTAAAGTAACAATACTGTGGTTCTACAGAAGGATGCTGAGAATACCATAGTCCGAACATGTGAACAACAACGAAATTTTTGAGAAAATGGAAACAAAAAGAACGCTTATACATAACATCAGAAAGAGAAAGTTTAAATTTCTAGTGCACATAATGAGGAAATAAGGCTTGGAAAATTTGATACGCACAAGACAGACTGAATGCAAGAGGGACAGAGAAAAACAGCGCATAACCTGCCTGGCGAGATGCATTCCAAAAAATAAGCAAATTATAACAAAACAAGAACATTTCTTAGAAACAAAGAAAAGAGTACCGAATTGTTATGTACTTATGTATATGTCCTTCTATATAGCAGTAAATGCTGGACCATCTCAGCACAGATGAAGAAGAAGAAAAAATAAATGCGTAAATGGATAGCAGAACAAGTTTTAGGAGAGATAATGAAATAATAAAATTGATTAAGAGCTACAAATGACAGGAAATTGTGGAGAGCCATGATCGCCAACACCCTGAAGGGAGGGACATGACACATAGAAGAAGAAGAATGAGCTTGTGTAAATGGATAGCAGAACAAAGTTTAGGAGAGATAATGAAATGCTAAAATTTATTAAGATCTACCAAATACAGGAAATTGTGGAAAGCCGTGGAACACATAGAGGATATAACAATTGTAATATGTTTGATCTTTAACCAGTGTATCGTTTTTGTGATCTTGACCTCGATAAAGCTGTTTCAGTTCTTTCTCTTGTTAAAAGGTTAACTAGGAGACAATGTTGTCAAGTATTCCTTTTCAGATTTGAAATTCTGCATATGAAATTAATTGTAAATACCTTAGATAACATATTTATTTAGTGGAAATAAAAAAACCTAAACATAAGTCTGCTCTAGATGTAGTTTGGTTTGGTTTGTTTTACGGTATATCAACCTCAATGGATTATTTAATGCCAACAAGGCTTTTATTGCTGATTATATTTTCTATCTATCTATCTATCTATCTATCTATCTATCTATCTATCTATCTATCTCAGCATATATTAGTTTGGTTTGGTTTGTTTTACGGCATATTAACCTCAATGGGTTATTTAATGCCAACAATGCTTTTATTGCTCGTTATATTTTCTATCTATCTATTTATCTATCTCAGTATATATTGGTTTGGTTTGGTTTGTTTTATGGCATAGCAACCTCAATGGGTTATTTAATGCCAACAAGATTTTTACTGCTGTTAATACTTAAAAAAAAATGCATTGCTGGTAAAAAAATTACCGAAAAAGGATTGCTGGTATTAAAACCTATTTTTATACTTTCATAGTGTTTTGACCCCTTATTGGAGGCGGGGGTGTAACTATTTGCCCATAGTTTGGACTCTGACAGTTGCTACCATCCCGGGACAGGTTTGGTTTGGTCTGGTTTACGGCATATCAACGTCAATGGGTTATTTATTGCCAACAATATTTTTATTGCTTGTTATATTTTCTATCTATCTATCTATCTGTTTGGTTTGTTTTGTTTTACGGCATATCAACCTCAATGTGTTATTTAATGCCAACAAGATTTTTATTGCTGGTTATATTTTTTGTATTTTTCCTAAAAATGTATTGCTGGTAATAATTTTTTTCTTCGAAAATTTATTGCTGGTAATAATATTTTACAAAAAAATGTATTGCTAGTATTAAAACCTATTTTAACTCGTTTTGCCCCCAGTTTGGGGGTTACCTATTTACCCATAGCTGGGACCCTAACTGGTGCTACCAGCTCGGGTCAGGGTGGACCTGGGAACACCAGCAATTAAGAGGTGGTTCCATGTTCTTCAAAACTTTCTGATCAAAGGCCTTGCTGTCGGATGTAGTTTATCGTCTTACCCAGGACGGTTTACTCTAGGTGTAGTTTGTTCAACACTTTAAAACGATCGATTGATTGATTTTGTTTCTTACGGTTTATCAACCAAATATGTGTAAATAGATCCTTTTGGAGGTAATAATAATTTTCTGATATCAGTCTTATTAATTAACCTATAGGTGGGGGAGAGATGATGTGGATTCGTACCTTTCTCAGGGTAAGTGAATATAACGAACCCAACTGGAATTGGAACGCGAGTCTCCGATTTCCAGTTCCGGGGAGTTATCCATTACAGCACCCGAACCCTACAATCTTACATCCCTTGGTATTCTAAAGCAGTCATCCATGCATGTACTGACCAGGGTCGTTGTACAATGCTACAAAGCCAAAAAAATAGCATAATAACTTGCGTCATGTATTAAGTAGCCTCGCCAGATCTAGACTGTCATGTGGATGTCATATATGACATCCGACTCATCCAAAAATGTTTGAACTATCAGTGATATACAATTGTTTTCTCAGATCAATGCTTAAAAAGAACTTCGGTCATATCGAAAGCAATCCTTCATTAGACATTGCAAACTGACGCTACAGAATCATAAAATAGATATTTAACAAAGATGATCAGCGGAATGGGATGGATAGATAGATAAAATCAGAAAGAGACAGATAGATAGAGAGAAGCAAAATGACATAGATAGAATCAGAACGAGATAGAAAGATAGATAGATAAATAGAAAGATAGATAGATAGATAGATAGATAGATAGATAGATAGATAGATAGATAGATAGAGCAAAATGCGAGATAGATAGAGCAAAATGCGAGATAGATAGATAGAGCAAAATGCGAGATAGATAGAAAGATAGATAGATAGATAGATAGATAGAGCAAAATGCGAGATAGATAGAAAGATAGATAGATAGATAGATAGATAGATAGATAGAGCAAAATGCGAGATAGATAGATAGATAGAGCAAAATGCGAGATAGATAGAAAGAAAGATAGAGCAAAATGCGAGATAGATAGATAGAGAGATAGAGCAAAATGCGAGATAGATAGATAAAAATGCTAGATAGATAGAGCAAAATGCTAGATAGATAGATAGATAGATAGATAGATAGAGCAAAATGCTAGATAGATAGATAGATAGATAGATAGAGCAAAATGCTAGATAGATAGATAGATAGATAGAGCAAAATGCTAGATAGATAGATAGAGCAAAATGCTAGGCATGAAATAGATAGGATAGATAGATAAAAAATGCTAGATAGATAGATAGAGCAAAATGCTAGATAGATAGATAGATAGATAGATAGAGCAAAATGCTAGATAGATAGATGAAAGCAAAATGAAGATAGATAGATAGATAGATAGATAGAGCAAAATGCTAGATAGATAGATGAATGATAGAGAGATAGAGCAAAATGCGAGATAGATAGATAAAAATAGATAGATAGATAGAGCAAAATGCTAGATATGATAGATGAATGAATGAATGAATGAAGCAAAATGCTAATAGATAGATAGATAGATAGATGAGCAAAATGCTAGATAGATAGATAGATGAGAGCAAAATGCTAGATAGATAGATAGATAGATGATAAATGCAAAAATGCTAGATAGATAGATAGATAGATGAGAGCAAAATGCTAGATAGATAGATAGATAGATAGATAGATGAATGATAGAGCAAAATGCTAGATAGATGAAAATAGATAGATAGATAGATAGATAGATAGATAGATAGATAGATAGATAGATAGATAGATAGATAGATAGATAGAGCAAAATGCTAAATAGATAGAAAGATAAATAATCAGTAGAATGAGAAATAAAATGGTGATCACCAGTAAGTAGATAGTTAAATAATGAAATTAATTTCCACACGACCTTAAACAAAAAATTGGGAAGGAAACTCCTATCGGTATTAGAAAGGGCGATAACTGTTACTGTACTTAAGAAAGCATTCAAAAATTTTAAACTGTTTGACCAAAAACAATGTCGTATGTTTTCCTTTTATGGAAACGGCCATTCTCACCATAATGTTTCCTTATAAGGAATCGACTAAAGTCACCGATAACATTAATATGGATGATTTTATTATAATGAGAAGACAAGTTTATTTTTAGTCATCAATGACTCATACCAGAGTTCACAAAGAGATGACGTAATTCTTATCGGACAAAATTCAACCTATCGTTCTCCGACAACGAAACCATTCACTTTTTTTTGTTTTGTTGTTTTTGTTTTTTTTTTGTTTTTTTGAAAATTATCTAATAGATTCATTGTTATAACTGTTGTGTTCTGAATTTTTCTTTTTTTGTTGGTCAATACAAAATGTTTTGCAACGTGAGACTTGACAATAATTGATAAAGTGGAATTGATGATAAAATTAATTTACACTTTTCCTTTAAAACGGGTTATTACAAAATGGATATTTCAAAAAGCAAACACAATTCGTCCATATTTGAGGATAGGACAGACGGACATATAAATAGATAGATATGAATATACTGATATAGATAGATATATATGAATATACTGACATAGATAGATAGATAGTTATGAATATACTGAGATATATATGAATATACTGAGATATATATGAATATACTGAGATAGATAGATATGAATGTAGTGAGATAGATAGATAGATATGAATGTAGTGTGATAGATAGATAGATAGATATGAATGTAGTGTGATAGATAGATAGATATGAATGTAGTGAGATAGATAGATAGATATGAATATACTGAGAGAGAGAGAGAGATATGAATATACTGAGATAGACAGATAGAAATATACTGAGATAGACAGATACGTAGATAGAAATGTACTGAGATAGTTACGTAGATAGAAATGTACTGAGATAGATAGATATATAGATAGATATGAATATACTTAGATAGATATGAATATACTTAGGCATATACTGAGATAGATAGATAGGTAGATATGAATATACTTAGATATATAGATAGATATGAATATACTGAGAGAGAGAGATATGAACATACTGAGAGAAAGATATGAATATATTGAGTTAGATAGAGAAATAGATAGATTTGAATAGACTGAGATAAATATAAACAAACCAAGATAGATAGATAGATAGATAGATAAGAAGAGACTGGCATAGATAGATAGATAGATAGATAGATGCCATTTCTGTTCAAGTGTTCTTCTGATTTTCCTTTTCTCAACTTGACCTCCTTCACATACACCGGACACATCCAAACTTTTCACGGGGTGACAATCCATAATAGCATTTCCTGCTTTTTGACTTGTAAACATCAGCTGAACTTATGCCCTTTGTCTCGACTGCCTTTCCGCCCAATCGCTGCTAAATATTTATATTTGTCTTCCATTGACGCCACCAGATCCTTTTTTTTTCTTTCACATACAGCAGCACAAATTCCTGCCTTTGTCGTCTTTGTGAACTGATCAACTGAAACATGTTGAATACTCAAAGAACAAAAACAGGTTTTTTAATTGAATTCGTATTCCTTCTATTGAAACTACTACTACTACTATTATTATTATTATTATTCGTGTTCTTCTTTTCGTACGACCATTACGCTCTGCCATTACCTCAAATAAATTATGGATCCCCGGGTTTTAATATCGAGGCAAGACCAATAAGAATGATATATCAGGGACTCTATGTGGTTTTAGTGAGAGAAGAAAGAAAGAAACAGAATGGCAAACAAAAGAAAGGAAATGTTAATAAAGAAAGAAAGAAAGAAAGAAAATGGCAAAGGAAAGAAAGAAAGAAAGAAAATAGGAAAGAAAGAAAGAAAGAAAGAAAATGGCAAAGGAAAGAAAGAAAGAAAGAAAGAAAGAAAATGGCAAAGGAAAGAAAGAAAGAAAGAAAATGGCAAAGGAAAAAAGAAAGAAAAAAAGAAAGAAAAAAGAAAGAAATGGAAAAAGGAAAGAAAGAAAGAAAAAAAAAAGAAAAAAGGAAAGAAAAGAAAGAAAGAAAGAAAATGGCAAAGGAAAGAAAGAAAGAAA